TCACATTTGGTTTCAGCTGCACTACATCCTGCATGCAATCGGTGGTCAAATGTTACTTGGCAGGATTCTAATAATAGGATTAAATGATGTCATTATTAAAGTCTTCTGTTTCTTTTTCTTTTTTTCCTTTAGTCCTGAGGAGTGACAAAGAAGCGCAGAGGCTCGGAACAACTTGCTAAAAATAAAAGAAAAACGCATCATCAAGAAACCAACAAAAAGATAAAACCAAGAAATACAAGCATTAAATTGCTAATCTTTCCATTTCTACTGCAAAGAGAGAGCTAAGTTTAAATTTGATTTCTGTGCTTGGGTGGGATGGTAGGGTCTGTCGTACTGTTTTAGTTCTTTTTTTTCTTTCTTTCTCCATTTTTATGCCTCATCTACAGCAACACGCTGTCCCTTTCCACTCCTCATCAAACCTTTTCTTTCATGTCGCTAACCTGTCTGAGCTTCTCCTGTTTCTCCTCTTTGTGTAGCCTCCTCTCATGTATACACACGTACTACTGTATTAACCAACACCATAACTTTCTTGTCATGATCCATGTAAATTACGACCTTGTAAAACTGAGGGCTAAAAGAACGGGGTATGTTAAATCGGGTGTGTATGTACATACAAAAAAACCTTGTTTTTTCTTTTCTTTTTTAATTGTGCTTGTTGCAGTTTTTGTTTGTATAACATTGTTTAAGGGTTGTGTTTTTGTTTTGTTTTTTCTGAGCACTTGATTTTGAAACAAACCGATGTTTTTACTGGCATGTTGGCAGGATTTCATTTGTTATCGGTCTTTTTCTTATAAAAGTGTATGATGTTCATATGAATGCATGCATTCCTGAAAACTTACCAAAGTGGCCGAGGCATGCAAGGGACTTGGCTGGCGAGCAACATGGGAATAATAAAAGAGCAGGCAGACTTTTCCCTCCTTCTTATATGTGGACAGTCGGTTGTATCCAGGAGGCCGTGCATGACTTGGGCTAAAAGCATAAAAATAGTTTCTCTTAGTATGTGTTTGTGGAGTCATAGCGTTCATACTAACGCCCATGGTGCTTTGTGCTGGGTCAAAAACGCCCAAATTATCGCCACTCTAGGAGAACTGCACGTAAACCATCAGCCTAACTGAGTTGAAACGTTTTGTTTTATTAAATGTAAAACGGTGGGGTCGCTGAACCCGCTCTCAGTCTTATTTTCTGTAACCATTTTGGTGAACACGCATCCTAGAAAATGGGGTCTAGTTTTGTTTGACCCGGGGTGCCTGTCATTGAGGCCTAACTGAGAGCGAAGACTCAAATCTAGCCACCCGTTAATACAGAGTGGGATCTCCTCACCTTAAGCCACCGGGGAGACGAGAGCAAGCTCATTAAAATTCTTACTAGGAAACTAGTAAAACCTGCTTTTGGTTAATGTGAGAGCTGATTGCACGTGGCAATGACTACCTGTTTTTGGGTTTCTGTTTTTTACGACTCCTGTTGAAACCAATTGTCGGCTCAGCGCACAGCCAAGCACCCATCATCGCTCTATGGTTGTGCTGTATATATTATATTTCCAGTTACTCCTTACTGGGTTGTTTTTTGTGTGTTTTTTTTTTTTTTTTTTTGGGGGGGGGGGGCTGTGTGTAATTTTCCCAGCTTCCTTTTCTGGTTTCTCCAGAGTGTTTTCCCTTAGCTGTGTCCTTGCATCTGTTTGGTGTCTGCTCCCTCCTGTCTTTGCTCTGGATGTGACTGTATTAACCGTTGTTTTGTAGATCACATACCTGAGAACAGTATAGGATGTCCCTCCCCCTCCAGAAACAGACCAACCCATGCACTGGGTCATCCCTCTCATGCAGAGCAGTGATGCTAACAGATGCACCTGCACTTCGTGTTTTGTCCAGGTTTTTTTTTTTTTTTTTGTTTTTTTTTTTTGCAGCAAACATCAGATTTGTGTCGCTCTCTGAAGCCATAGCCAGCACTCTGGGATCAGTGTGAGGCTTTTTGGTGCATGTGGTAATGCTCATTCTGGTTGTTCAGCCACCCGACTCACCGTGCTTTTCTCAAAGGGCTGCCTTCCACTCCTTGCTTCCTTTTTTTTTTTTTTTTTTTTTTTTAATTTGTTTTTGTTTGGGGTTTTTTTGTAAATGTACCCGCCTCTTTTCTGCTTACCCACAGCTGAATTGGTGAACACTGCGCGCCACCGCTGGCGCTTTCTGCCTCCCTTCTCTGGTAGCCATGTGTCCGTCTCACCCACATCATGGACGAGGGAGAAACTCGCTCCAATCACGCGACTCAATCAGCACGTCTGCACTTTGTCTCTCCAGCCTTGCCCCCGTTTTGTTTTCCCTTCCCCGCCCTGTCTAGCATCCTGCTTGTTGAGCTTTAAGTTTAAAGTGTTGCGTGTTTTCAGACTCATGGATGGTCTGCGGTGATTCGTCTATGTACAAGTGTTTGTGTATCTGCTCATCAGTAACGTAAAGCCAAGACTCCTCTCATCATGTGCGTGTGTGAGAGATGGAACTTGTTTCTTTGCCGCCCGGGCCGTCTCCCTGCAGTTACCTGTAGTTTCAGATCTTTGAGATGACTGTCATGCAGATGTTTTGTTTCATATGTACATTTGGGCTGCCCCTCTTATTTTATTTTGGTTTTTGTTGTTGTTGCTTTGTTTTTCTTTTTTTTGTGGTTCAGCCATCAAATCAAACATCTCACTGGTTAATCATGAGAACAACCCAAGATGTCCATGTTTTGCTATCCTCCTGACATACACAGACACTCCCCCTCACTCTCTGTCTTAGGGGGTGTATCTGTGTGTTTATGTAAAGTTGCACTTAAACACACCATCTACATTCACACAAGTTTAAAGGCCCATCTGTCACAGGGCCTGTTTCCAGATATTGATTTTAAATGGGTCGTCTTATTATTGCTATTGTTGTTATATTGGTGAGATATTGTTTGGGGTAGTTTTTTTGTTTTTGTTCTTTTTAACATAAAAGGGAGTTATAGTTGGGGGGGTGTTGTGTTGTTTTTTTGTTTTGTTTTTTGGGAGGGTTTTTTTTCTTTTTTTTTTTCTTTTTTTTTGTTTGTTTTTTTGTTTTTTAATTAGTATGTTTTTAATTTGTATTTTTCTTATTTCTTTTATGGGCGTGATTATTATTGACAGTGTTTTCAGTCAGGAAACTTGGTTTGTTTTGTTTTTTTTTGTTGTTTTTTTCCCTTACAAGATCTTATAAGGAATTATTTTAAAAGAACATATAAGTAGACTGTCAACGAGATATGAGTTATTGAGGGTTATAGTCTGTATATTCTATGGGTATTATGAATTAAACGATTAACAAAAACACGTTATATACATACAATTGAATAAAATTTCCTGATACTGTTGAAATTGTGATGTGGTCTCGTTTTCTCTTGTTTTTTATTAGCTAATAAAAACAGCAAAAGATACTTTATATTCAAAGGTCAATATTATTTAGTTTTATAGGTTTAATATTGAAATTCATCGCCAATATTGTAACCTTTGAGGAAGCACTTGACAACAGTGCAAGGCAAGAAGAGATGTCGAACTACAGGGTGGGGGAATGGTTACCAATATCCAGTAATGGTTTATAAATAGTGGTCCGTGTGTGTGTGTGTAATGTGAATATTATGGGTTCTAGCACAGAACCTTGTGGAACTCCATAATCAAGACTTTTTCTTGTGCCATTTCTTGTGGATTTTTATGTGATGAATCCAATTACACTGCTAATCAGAGTATAGCATCATGTCAGTAGAACCTGTGGGAGATTGATCTGGACATTTAAGTAGCAGAGGGGGGTTGTTAATTGGTTTTGGCTGCTTTGGTGTTAATGAAATTATCAGCAGGTGCAGCAGAGGGGCAACAATGAGACACCCTCTTAAATAGGCACTGTTTTACAGGTAGAGGCCACTGACATTTTTCCCCTCATCTGTTCTGCTTGTTGTTGTTTTTCACTAGTTTTGTTTTTTCATTTGACTTGGGTCACTACAGGTAGCATGAGGCGATACCTGGACCCTAACATGGCATGGGATGGGGATTGCATATCAAAACGTACCATTGCTAGAAGGTTTGCTGTGTCTCCTAGCACAGTCTCAAGAGAACGGAGGAGATCCCAGGAGACAGACAGTTACTCTGAGAGCTGGACAGGGCTGTAGAAGGTCCTTAACCAATCAGGAGTGAATAAAATTTTGGCAAAATGGACTAGCCTGCCACTTTTTTTTTTTTTTTTTTTTTTTCTCCACTTTGATTTTGGGAGTATCTTTGAATGGAGCTCTGTGTTTTCATTTCCATGTCGATATCAACATATTTTCCCCATTGAGATCTGATGTGTTTTCAAAGTGTTCCTTTAATGTTTTTGAGCAGTGTAAAAGGAGCTGTAACACTGATCTGCCTTTGAGCTTTCACATCCTCCTTCATATCATGTCTCAGCATGACTGTAAGTTCAATATGCACACATGTATGTCTCTATATATCTCTACCACGTGTGACAGCAGGAAAACAGAAAAGTGGCAAACAGTGGGGTGTGATCTGTCTTCTGTGCGATTTGCACGTCAAAACGAGACACCTGTAAATGTAGGAGAATGCTGGAAGCTCTGATTTGCCCTGCAGTGAATGGATTTCTCTGTTCTCGTGAAAACCAGGCTTGTTGTAACACATCACTGCAGGCTCGGCCCGTCACACAATTGTTTGTCACATTCCAGCTTTGCCATTCAAGTTGAACAATATGCTGCTGCTTATCCTGCTGACTTTGGACTGTACGTGGCATGTTGTGGTGAGCACTGCTTGCAGATAGATGGTTTTCATATTTCTGGCCTGGTCAAAGCAAAGTTTACCTACTCTACATTCCACATCCCCTTTGTCAAATACAAGATAAGAAACTTGCCACGCTGCCTGCGATGCATTTGTTTCCTAAGTTATCAGCTTGTGTTTAAGCCCAGCAGCACATTACATCTGGAAAAAGCAATAGATGGCTAATTGCACTCATCTGGCAGGTAATTTGTAGTCATATGCTGTTTTAGGATATTCTGTATTATATTAGCAATACTCCAGCTGTGTAGCAGAATAAAAGTAATCATTAGAAAGGTGTTGCAAGACAGAGGTACAGGTATGATATAAACCTGAACAAAAGCATAAAAACAGCATTACCACTGGAAGGGGAGAGGCCAGAGCGAGAGCCCTGTGGGGTTGTGAGCTGGTGCTTCATTAACTGACTTTTACAGCTCTGAGGGTTCAGCTGTACCTGCTAAGAGTAAGACTGAAATTCAGGGGTGGGACTTTTTTCTCTGTCATACCAGTCTGTCTGGATTTTTTTCTTATCTTCCCACAACAAGCTGCTGGTTCTTCAGAAAAGTCTTTGGGTCTGGCCACTTGTGATTGGAGGGAGAAATCGAGTTGTCATTTTGAGATTGTCTTGCTGAGCAAGTTTTTTCTTTTGCTGGTGCTTCTGGTCAACCTGAACTGTGAGATCTTGCAGAGACTCTCTGAGGGACTCGCTGAATGTGCATGCAGGAAAGGATGATCAGCTTTTTATATTTTTTCCTCCCAGTGTTGGGAGGATACACCCTCACCTCGGTTTACCTGCTAAAGAACCCACAGATTCTCCACAGGAAGAAACGCCCTGCTTTCTACTGCAAAAAGATCGCACACAGAGGAGGTAAGGATCTGCAGTCAATGTGTGGGACTCAAAGAACATGATGTGTGGAAGTGCTCACCGGACTGGGCTGGGCATGCAGTCTCTGTGCCCTGAGGTCTGGGTTTTAATCTGCCATTTAAGTCCATCTGTAAAGCAGCTGCATGTCAGTCAGTAATTTAACTGGAGAGAAGCCCAAAACACTGATGCTATTGAATGTTATAGAATGCTTTTGCTTCACTTTCCAACATTTTAAATGCTAATTTCTTTTAGCAGCTGCAGATTTTAGTCCTGTGGGTTAAAGACTTATGTATGAAGCTTTCCCATGGGGTGCCCCTGATTTTTCTTACTGCTTTAAAGATGAAGTCTTTGAACAAAAGGCCTGTTTTTATATCTAAATCTTATTTTACTGTGCAGATACTTTTTTCTGTTCTACCACGAAGCTCAAGCTGAAAACTTAATATGCAATTCTAACTGATGATGTGATTTGCTGTAATGTTTAGTAGGACCAGTTTAGCAGCTCTCTATCTGAGACATTTTGAGTACTTTGTATTTTCTGACTACTGGCATAATGTCTATGAATTTTAGGATCTGGAGAGAGGATAGAGAGCACCATGGAGGCATTCACACAGTAAGTACCACACTGCCCTCTTTGAAGTGCTGTGAAAGAAGAATGCATCAATTTTTATATGATAGCAGACTTTTTAGACACCACACCCCCGACCCTCCCCATTCCCAAAAAAGGTGTATTGCTAAAAATGTGAAAGTGACGCACACACCCCTGACAAACGGTGGAGTCATTTTAATTATTCGTATCTTTTCTCTGTTGTCAGTGCGGTGGAGCAGGGCACTGAGATGCTGGAGATGGATTGTCATTTGACACATGATGGCTTTGTGGTGGTATCACATGATGAGAATTTGCTGAGGCAGACTGGCCATGATGTCACAATCTCCTCGCTCAATCTGCAGGTAAGAAACCGGATCCTGCTGGACTGGGGCAAAGGTCACAAGGCCGTACTGAGACAAGAAGTGGTAATCTTTCAGAGACACCTGCTCTGTTTCTGTTTCATAGATGAGCTTTGTTACATTCATTGTTACACATGAGACTATGTGAGTTTTATCTTGAGCGCTACGTCTCAAATATACAATTTTTTTGTGGCACAGATTCAACAAGGTGCTGGATACAGTACTCGGGGATTTCAGTTCATGATGACATGAGACAGTTACTGCAGATTTGTTGCCTGTATATAAATGAATCTGCTGTTCCACCACATCCCAAATGTGCTCGATTGGATTGGGATCTAGCGAGGCCATTTGAGTACAGGGAACTCAATTTTTGTTTTCTAGATGTTTGAGCTTTGTGACATGGTGTGCTATCCTGCTGGAATCAGTTATGAAAAGATAGGTACACAGTTCATAAAGGGATGGACATGTCAGCAACAATACACGGGTAAGATATTTTCTTGGCCCCAAAGTGTGCTAAGAAAATGTCTGACACTTGCACAAGATGGGATCATTTTATTTACACCATAATTCTGATCCTAACATTCAAATGGCACAGAAAAACATCAAGATTCACACCAGACAACATTTTTTCCAGTCTTCTATTGTCCAATTTTATTGAACTTGTGCCATATTAGTCTGTTTCTTTTTCTTAGCTAACAGAAGTGGTTCTTGATGTGGCCTTCTACTGCTAAAGACCACCTGCTTCAAGTTTTGACATGTTTAGAAATGCTGTTCTTCATAATTTGGTTGTTACACGGGGATATTTCACTTATTGTTGCCTCATCTTGAAGCAGCTATGCTATTCTCCTCTGATTTCTGACATTAACAAGGTACTTTTACCTACTTAAATCCCCCCCCACCCTGATGCTCAGTTTGAACTTCAACAGGACGTCTTGGCCATGTCTGCATACCTAAATGTAATTGCTGCCATGTGATTGGCCGATTAGATATTTGCATTTATGGGAAGCTGAACAAGTGTGAGTGTATAATACTCTAGAGCAGCGGTCTCCAACCTTTTTTGCACCACGAACCGTTTTATGCCCGACAATATTTTCACGGACCGGCCTTTAAAGTGTCGCGGATAATAAAACAAAATAAAACTAACGGTACTGAAAAAAAAAGAAGATTTATTCATAACACATGTGAAAAAACCCAGGAAAACAGAGTTAACGATAAAAACGATAACAAAATAACGCTGAAAACCGATAAAAACCCTGAAAACCGTACATTTCACATCTGAGCCTCAACTCTTGCGGCCCGGTACCAAACGACTCACAGACCGGTACCGGTCCGAGGCCCGGGGGTTGGGGACCGCTGCTCTAGAGTTCAATTTAGTTTTATTGTAAAATGCAGAATAACTGCTTAAAAGTCAGTTTTCACTTCCAAACAATCTGGTAGTTCCTTAAGCTCACATGAGACTGCCAGATTCGGTTGTAATGCTACTGTGAGCTACGGGGTTTTACATGGGGGTTTACATGTTATTACATGTTTTTCCATCCAGATTTAACAGCACACTTATTTACTGTAGCAACATTACTTACAGAGCTGCATGGAGGCATCTTTTAATTCTTTTAAATTCACCATAATCTTCAAAAAGGGCACGCTGCTTGCATTACTCTTGAGGTTTCCTCGGAAACAAAGCTGTAATTTCTCAGTAAGAGTTTGTTCAAGCATCAGATTACCATCAAGGGAATGTTTGCATCCGGCTTTGTTGCATGTACCAACTCAGCTGGGACAACAATACTAAGAATATCCGATGGCGTACACAAATTCTTTTCACCTTAATCACATCATAGTAAATTCACCTAATATCTCTCTGTTCAACTCTGTTTTAAAACTTTTAGGATTTGCCTTTGTATAAGGAGAGACTGGAGGTAACATTTTATGAAGGTGAGTTCCTCCTGTTATATCTAATTGTTCATTTTTAATGAAAAGACATTTGAAGAAGAAATGCATCTATAATAATAATCATCATCATAATCATAAATCAAACACTGTATGTTGAAAAATGTATAGACAAAACAATCAAACAACTGCTGTTTAAAAGTGACTGAATAAAAAAAAAAAAGAGCTTCCCCAATTTCCTCCAGCAGGACATCAGTATTAATACTCTGGATCGAAGACATTTCTAATGTTTCTGAAAGAGTTGGCTAGTGATACTGAATTCATATCCAAGAGAGGGGAGCAAAATTAGAGGGACTCTGAGGAGTAACCGTAAAGCCTGAATCATTAAATAATTGCCAGACTATGAAACTTCTAATTAAAAATAAAATTAATAAATATTACTTTGTATCATATGTGCTACATCCAGCAATTTTCTTGCAATTTATTGTTTAATTCACTGTAAAAGTTATTGCCATAAGGAGAAATACAATTATCTGCAAAGAAATCATAGCTCACACTGTATTTGTTAATTACATAGCCAAATCATAAGCGATCGGTTAGAAACAGCAGGAGGCCAACAATGAAACCTTGTGGAACACCGTTTCTTAGCATCACTATAGCTGACTGCACAGATTATCAGAACACGTGTAGACACAGATGAAACTAATATAAAAGCAAACCTGAAACGCAGGTACTATATTAAAAGAGTGATAAAAGCAGCAGACAGATCCCAGATGAGTAAAGCAGTGTGGTGCACCACAGTCAACTGCCATAACAAGTTAATTTCTTTCTGATATGCTCATGCATCTAATGTGACTTTACTTTTCACCCCTCCTTTTCTTTAGGCCGTTACAGCACTGGCAAGGACAGGAAGTTTGCTCTGCTGGAGGATGTGTTCAAGAAGTTCCCTGAGATGCCGATCAGCATTGAGATCAAAGAGAACAACCACGAGCTCATTAAAAGGGTACACGTTAATCGCCCCGAAAAACCAACACCAAACTTCTACCACAATTTCCTGATATATGAAAAAGCTTCAGCTTTTCAGGATTGAATCAGGCCTCTTTTGAGGTGGATACATTGTCTAAATTCCAGTCAAGGTGAACAAATTATGAGTGATTTTCTAACTACAAGGCTAGGGAGCTTTTCCTGTGCAATTCTAAATATGTTGTCCACCTTATAAACAGTGTCCACAGTTTACTGCCCAAGTGTAGCACAGCAGCCTCTGTGATATCTGTGTCTGCTGCACCACTTGCACTCTTACACCTTCGTGTCATCATGTCCTGAATGCTAATATTTGTTTCCCACTTGATTTTATGTTTTTAGGTGTCTGATCTGGTTAAACGCTACAACAGGGAGGGGATCACTGTGTGGGCTTCCACAGACTCCACGATCATGAAGCAATGCTGGAAAATGGTACATTAACCAGCTGGAGGAGATGAGTTACCTGTATAGCATTAACACACTTTACTCATTATAACATTTTAATTGCATGCAGGAAATGCATGAAATGAAGCTATATGATGGCGTTACAGGGTTTCCTTAGCTTTTCAGTATGGTTTTCAGCATGATTCATAAACACCGCCTCTGTACCAGTGTTGTCACCCAGCATGTCTGTGTCTCTTTTCTCTCCTTCCACGTAGAACGGCTCCATGCCGTACAGTTTCACTATGAGCCGAGGCCTGCTGCTTCTGCTTCTCTTCTACACGGGGCTGCTGCCCTTTGTGCCAATAGGAGAGAGTTTGCTGCAGTTCTACCTAATGCGCATCTTCAACAGGTGTGACTGCAGGAGTGTGTTCAGTGCATGCTGAGTAAACTGTGTCCATTCATGTGCATGCACAGTCCTTTTTCTGTTAAGACTGTGATGCTTCATGTTCTTGCTATCTATGCTCACTGTGTCTGGACTGCCTAACTGAGCCCATTAACATTTTTCCTGGTTCAGAGAATGAGAATTTGAATGATGATGGTGAATAACAGCTAAGCATGACTGGTTTAAGTATGGTACAGGCTCTGGGTCTGTGTTGCCTTATTTGGGGGAAAAACCAGCAATTTTCCCTTTGGTTTTAAATTCTGACCGTTTACTTTGGGGGGGTTGTAGTTGTGAATGTTCATGTTCTGCTTATTCAGCTGTGGTTCATACATTTCTGTTAAACACATTCGGATTTATGATTTACTTTTATTTATAAAACTCTCTGGGAGCACTGAAAGTTTCTCTGTGCAATGACAATTTAATCATGTGGTTGTAAGCCTTTTTCTGTGACCTCTTGGTTTTTATTCTCTCAGATACTTTTATTTCATAAAAGTGTAACTGTGTCTTTCTCTGTCTCTGTGTGCGCTGAAGGACATTCATTCCCGATGAAGCTCTCCTGAGGAACAAGCTCGTTGTGTGTTTGATAGAAAAGTAAGAGAAGTATTAAAAAGGACTATGGTAGTTGTTCCTACTCACTTATTTATTGGTCTTGAAATCTAAATTATAAATGCCAAAAATCGACAAAACATTCAGTCCTCACTACACTGAAAGATTGTTTACACTGCTAGCTTAAATCTAGCATTTTAAGCACAGTGTGCAGTTTGTGTTTTATTTTAAATTTGCTTCTTTCATGCTGTCATTGCAGAATAACTATGAGGAAGAGTCTTTTTAGGCACCTCGCTGCCCGTGGAATTCAGGTATGAAACCACATTTCTAAGTGTTTACAGCACTGTGCTTGAAAGAAGAGTTAAAGAAATGCAAAGAAAGCCAGAACTGTGCAATATAAACATATCAGAGTAAAATAAAATGCTAAATACTGAGAGGCAAATATGAAAAATATCACAAATGTTTGTTTACCTTGTCAAAGGCTCTTTGTCTTATCAGAGTTTTGTTTGCTCATTCTCATTTAGATAGAAACAGTGCAGGGACCACAAGTGTGCTCAGAAACTTTCCTGGAACATTTTTGCTTCACTTTTACTTTGCTCTTGTGTCTTCCATGAAAAGATGCACAGGGAATCCCCAAAATATAATTCCTGTTAAAGTCAATGGATTTGATTTTTCTCCTACTAGTCACTGCATGGTCAGCTGCAGGATGCTATTCAAACTCAACAGGTTATGATCTAACACAGAAAGCACTTCAGCATGACAAATAGTTGACCTCACACAACCACTATGAGTGTCCTGAATGCATCATCTCTATCCTGATGTGATGAGATCAACCCTGTTGTCAGGACATGACTCCACTCAATAGCTGGAGAAAGTAACACTCTTTAAGCTATGTGATATTTATATTTTGTCCTTGTTGTATTTCAACACTTTTAAATAATGCCAAAGTAGCAACCAGGAAATGTTTCTTTCTATATCATCTACATGGTTTTTTTTTAGTGTTTTGGGGAGAATTTGTGGGCATGTTAAAATCCAAGTATTTTAATCGGTGATTCAGTAACATGTCCACACGATTGACAGCTTATCAGTCCACTGAATGTCCTAATCAGTCCTACTGATATTCCCTCACTAGACTCTTTAGTAGGTAATTGGTGCCGACTACCAGGTTTGTGTCCTTTTGCCTTCAAAACTGCCTTAATTCTTCATGGCACAGATTCAACAAGGTGCTGAAAACATTCTCCAGATATTTTGGTCCGTATTGACATGATGGCATCACACAGTTGCCGCAGATTTGTCAGCTGCACATCAGTAATGTGAATCACCTGTTCCACCACATCCCAAAGGTGCTCTGTTGGATTGAGATCTGGTAACCTTGGAGTCTATTTAAGTACAATGAACTCATTGTCATGTTAAAGAAACCAGTTTAAGATGAGTTGAGCTTTGTGACTTGGTGTATTATCCTGCTGGAAAGAACTAGTGAACCAAAGGATGGGTACGCTGGTCATAAAGGGATGGACATGGGCAGCAACAATACTTGGGTAGACTGTGGTGTTTATCTGATGGTCAGTTGGTACTAAAATGCCTAAAGTGTGCCAAAAAATATCCCCCTCACCATGACCGAACCGTTGATACAAGGTGGGCTCATTTTAATGATGTTTATACCAAATTCATCATCTAAATCTTGCAAATCTTGCAGAATTCAATATTCATAAGACCAGGCAACGTCTTCTGTTGTCAAATTTTGGTGAGTCTGTGGGAACTGTAGCTTCAGTTTCCTGGTTGTAGCTGACATGAATGGCACCCAGTGTGGTCCTCTGCTTCTGTAACCCATCTGCTTCAAGGTTCAACATTTTTTTATTCGTATTCACAAATGCTCCTCTGCATGACTTGGTTTTAAGGAATGGTTGAGTTACAGTTACCTTCCTGTCAGCAAAGCAGCCTGGCCACTGTCCTCTGACCAGAGAACTACAGCTCACTGGGTATTTTCTTTCTTGGACCATCCTTTGTAAAGCCTGGATATGGTTCTGTGGGAAAATCCGAGTAGATCAGCAGTTTTTTCTTTTTTTTTTCTTTTTTTTTTTTTAAGACTCATACCAGCCGTTTGGCACCAACAGCCACTTTCAAAGTCATTTCAATCACATTTCTTCCCCACTCTGAAGCTCGGTTTGAACTTCTGCAGGTCATTTTGACCATGTCTACAGGCAGCCATTCGACTGGCTGATTAGATATTTGTGTCCACGAGCAGCTGAACAGATGTCCCTAACAAAATAGCCAGTGAGTCTTGGTGCTCACCTGTTAACCGGCTCGTTCGGTTAATAAGATTAGCTTTCCAACACGCTCCATGAAAATTTTTTCCCTTGTTTTCTCTGTTTCCTAGGATACATATTATTCTAATCAAGATGAATGTGACACTTTTGATGCCATTGCATTGATTATCAATATCATTTTGTAATGGTTATTTATCTACACTGTAGCCTGAACAACTGGCCCATGGTGCTTCAGATTTTCTGCTGCCATACAAGGAAAAACAAAACAGTGAAATGTCAGTTTTTAACTGAAGATAACTGTTGCAATTGCAGGTGCATTTATTTGTTTGCAACACAGAAGAAGACATAGAGGCGGCATTAGAAGTAGGAGCCACTGGAGTGATGAGTGACTATCCAACTCTTCTGTCCAGCTACTTCTGCAAAAACAGAAGTCAGGACTGAATCCAAGCACACCATCACATGATGGCAACAATGACACTGATAAAAACGGCTAATGCAACATTTGTTGAAGAATCTTTGGTCTACATGATAATCGCCATGCAGTGGGAACACAACTATCATTAATCTCTTCGGTGCTGACCTTTAATCGCTGCTGACAGAATGACTTGTTTGTCATGGGATCGTCTCTACAGCCTCCACCCACAAACAAACCACGGCATTGATTTGGTCTGCAGCACATCTAACGAGTGAATATTTAACTAGCTGGACTGTATATCTGATTAAATGTGACTTTATTTTGAATGTCTCTAATGTTACTTTCTGCCACTTTTAAGATAGGGCTTGAGAAATAAATGATTATGAATAAATCACTTGCATTTTGGCTTTTATATTCTTTTGGGCCATTAGAAGATTACAAGGTAATTACTGGCAGTACAAACATGAATACAGTACAGTGTGTTACGGAGCAATCTAGGCAGCATAGTGCGAATCTCTTTGACCGATTTTCTTGACCTAAAAGAGACTGTAGAGAGTGTACACATGCTGTAAACCTCACCTGTGTCCTTGTTTTCCCAAGCAACTATGGTCAAAGTCCAGCCACCCGGCCGTGATAATAATCAACCAGTTTGTTGGTGAAACAAAGAGGGTATTTTTCTGTGTAGGTTGGCGACGATCAAGTTAATGGGATATACCTGGATTTATGCAAAAAAATAGTAACAGTAGGCACCGAGAGCAAAGTAGCAATAAAATAAGATGTCTTGGTAGTATTGAGACACTTGAGACAATTTCCCATATTTTGACTGGTTCGGGAGGACATGCAAATCAACTCAGTTTTATTTATATAGCATCAAATCACAACGAAAGTTGCCTCAAGGAACTTTACATGTAAGGTAGAGACCCTACAACAATACAGAGAAAGCCACAACAATCAAGCAACCCAGTATGAGCAAGCACTTGGTGAGAGTGGGAAGGAAAAACTCCCTTTTAACAGGAAAAAAACCTCAAAACAGAACCAGACTCAAGGAGGGGCAGTCATCCACCATGGCTGGTTGGAAGTGATGGTAGGGACACGGGACTAAAACACTGTGCACTTTGCACTTTTCTAAACTCTGGTTTTAACCCAGTGTGAACGGTAGGCCTTTTATTATAGTGAGAAGAAGCTTAGCCAGTTTAACGCCATAATCATCAACAAGTTGCACACTTTGCAGATTTTGTAAATTGTGAGAAGGAAAATGAAGTTCCAGTATATTCTGAATAATGTGGTGTGAAGTGACACAATATATGTGTTATAATTAAATAAAATTGCTGAACTTTTCAGATGTGGCAAAAGAAAGCTATGCAAATCTATGGATAGATTCAAACTGAAGGCCCCAAAATGCAGAAATCACAGTGAAAGTACATAAAGACTTTCCATAAGATGACTATAAGAACAAACTTCAGTTTCCTTTTATCTTTACTGTATTTGCTTAGCAAGACAGTTTGAAATATTGTTTAATTAGCCTGTACGTGCCTAGTTTATTGTTTGTTTTTATTTTTAAGTCATCATTGCTGACATGTCCCACTTTCTCCCACACAAATGCCACATATGCCCTACATTTAGTTTGTTGGGATCTGCTCACCCTAGGCCTAGGTCATTGATCAACATTTAATGTTACATGTTGCTGTACCACAAAGCAAGGAAACTGCAGGAATTTTAACCAAACTTTTCAAAACTAAACCAGAGATCAGTGTAATGGACCGCCTGCCTGTGTGTCATAAAAATACACACACACACAATGACACACACACACACACACACACACACACACACACACACACAAGAAAAGGCAAAGGAGCAGTCAAGAAACCACAACAAATAAAACCCTTCCCTCAGGCTCATATTCCAAGAACTCCTGGAAACTGTCACAGTAGCAGGTTAGCATGTTGTTCTTGCTCTTATTGGTCTGATCTCTACAGAAGCACTATGCTTGTTTTTGAAATTATTTTAATCCCAGTCCGACAGGCCGGAGATGATAACACACTTTCAGCATTTATGAAACGCTACCAAACAGCGATCAAATCGATAGCCATAAAAGGCCCCGGTAAGATGGAATCTGATTGGTTGACCCACATTCTAACGTCACTCGGAGGCTCTGATTGGTCAGCGGGGATTTGTTTTTGCACTACCCAGACTTCCTCCTATGCGTGTTTTCATAAACAAATCGCATTTTTCCTCCCGCCGAGGTCGCTGCTTTCGCTCCTTGTCAGCCTGCCAGCTTTGTCGGCGTCCAGCTCCACTTTTAAAGAAGGTTGTTTCGGAACTTTGAGCGCTGGTTCTGGTTCAAAAAAACAAAAGAGAGACGCGGGTAAACGGGCTCCGCTTCAACAGCCAGAGCTGTCTGTCCTTTTTTTGTGTGTCCGAACCGCCAACGCGTGGTCGATCGTTTCTCACCAAACTGACCGTTTTTCTGCCCTTTACCTGAAGTTTTTCAGCTGCCGGCCACACCAGTCCGCTGTCTAGACTGTGAGGAGCTTCGGTGTTTTTAGGTGAGTGGACGGACGCCGAGAAATGTCCTGCAATGCGCATCTGCGCTGCTGCCGCTGCTGTTGTGTGTTGACAGTGCGGAGCTAGCGGGCTAGCTAACACACTAAGCTAGGTCAAAGCAGAGCTAGTGGCCCGGTTTACTCCTGCAGCTGACAGATGCACCATCAGTCCGTTTACGTTGACTGGTAGACGGACAGTGCCTTTACAGTCCTTGAATTTGGGTTAACTGCTGCATTTATCTAAGCAAGGGTTATTTGTGCCAACTATTAGAAACCAGGAAGCAAGCTGCCTGGTTAACTAACCTGTTATTTTTGACTAGTCTCAGCTAACAATGCATCCATACCTTGTAAAGTCACCCTCTGCCATCATACATTTAATCATTGAAAAGAAGATGCATGATTGAAGCTGACAAAGAGTCCAACCCAGTTAGCTTTCATTCATTAAGGATGAATGACCTTAAAACCTTGATATGAGATAGCTCAAACTGTTAGTTACAAACTCCAAATTGTTAAATACTAATGCAAAGGCTTGAGGGAGTAAGTCACACCTTTATAGTGCTGACTTTCAATTTTCCCTTGGTGTGTCCGTATAATAGTAAGACTTTGGTCATAGATTTTTCTGGACCACATCTGATCAGGTGATTAACATATTTTCTCTGGGTCCAGCCTCATTGCAGTTTGACTGTGCTCAATTTTAGTTTAGTTTTCTTTGTAGTTATTATAATACTGGGGCTACTTATCAGGGGCCTGGTTGAAGAGATTACAGTAGTAGCACTTTGTGAAGGCAGTTGAAAGTCATGTAGGCATCCTAAGTCTTAATACGAAAAACCTCATCAGGCTGGTTGTGTTGACAATGGGCTTTTTATAAGATAGACTTTTACCCCCAAGTGAAAAATTCACGTTATTACATCATTATAGCAGCCAAATGAATAGAACGGGAACAAAATAAGTAGATTCAGCATTATAACATAACCTTTATTAATAATACTCTACAACAATAGAGAAAAATGTGCACTGTGCATATAGAAATATATATGGCATGGGACATTGCATTATGTGCAGTGGTTAACAGCAAGATGGAATATAGACTATTGCACACAGTCTGACAGAAGATGGAAGGAACGTCCTGCTTTTGGTTTTTAGTTTGGCTTAACTTTAATAACCTTTGTGTCACATTGCGTTAGGGTGAAGCTTTATAGTCTTGTGATGGGGCTAAGGTTAATTCAAATGAGAAAGAAATCATCCTGTTTATGGTTAGTCAGATGGAAGAACTGTGTGCCAAGATCGCTAACCCATCATACAAACAATAATAAAAAAAACCTCGTCTCTCTCTGTGTTTTTGGTCCTGCTCAGACATGGTGAAGCTGACAAAAGCCAAGACGTTCCAGGCGTATTTGGACTCCTGCCACCGCCGTTACAGCTGTGTGCACTGTCGCGCCCATCTGGCCAATCATGACGATCTTATCTCCAAGGTCTGTATGCCGCTTGTCTTTTTTGTTGATAATCATGTCAGATGCCATGCACATTTGCTTCATGGTTATTTTAGAAAGTTGCATCTGAGACATATCAGAGTTGGGTTTGCAGTCTGTCTCTAATTTATATTTTTCCTCCCTGTCTCCTAGTCTTTCCAAGGCAGCCAGGGCCGAGCCTACCTCTTCAACTCTGTGTAAGTATCAACTATTAAAAAGCAGGTTTTTCCTGTTTTCGGTTTCCAGTCTCACTTCTCCTGTAGACAGAAGAGGGAACTGTTGTTGTTTTTCACATCTCACTTGTATTCACAACAACTTTAAAGCCACTTTGTGCAAAAATGTTATTTTTTCACGCAAATCGTTTTATAAAAAGTCTATTTCTCGGTGAAAACACATTTCTAGTATCGCGCTTGTTTGATCAAACCACACTGAACGGACAACTTGATTTGCTCTAGTTTGGATTTTGAAGGTGTGTGAGCTCACGTTCTTCCGGGGTTAGTGGGTCAGGAGTACACACTGTTTGCGTCTTAAATATTAACCTACTAGCTCCACTCAGTTTAAATCTTAATTTGTTCAGGTGCAGCCCTTTTTGAATAGTAGGGTTTCATTAACATTTTCTCCTAAAGGAGGTTGTAGCTGTGCAGGAGAGGCTGTCCTTGAGTGATTACTGAAGAGAACAGTTTAATCACAGTGTGTCCATGCTTTTGTCTTCAGGGTCAATGTCGGCTGCGGCCCTGCTGAGGAGAGACTGCTGCTCACGGGACTTCATGCTGTGGCCGACATCTACTGTGAAAACTGTCACACCACGTTGGGCTGGAAATATGTACGTATATGTCCTCCAGCAAATGCAGTGCAGGATTATTCATCTTTAAATCACTTAAAGGCTTTTTGTTTTTTAATTCACTGAGACGTCCACACACACTTTTCTGGTGCCATGACGAATTTTATACATATCGCACAAATCAATTGGGACATTTTTGTAAGACGCAGAATGTGCACAAAAACAACAAAGCAGTGATGTAATCAAGAACATCTGGACTTTCCAGTGATTGTTATGTGAATGTCACTGTCTGCATTAATGCATGAACTGCAAAAATTGTAAAGAAATACATGAGAAAATGACCCGTTTTCTCTCTTGATTTATTACTTCTGTAAACTTTTCCCTGATGACTTTATGGTCTCTGTCGCTGTTTTAAAGCCTTCATTAAGACAACATGCTGTTCATTTAGTGAATTATTATCTCCATTAGGAGTAAACAGCAAAGTGGGGTATGTTTCGGGGTGTGGCTTCACTCTGATTGACAAACTCTTACTGTTTGTTTGTTCAGTGTTTTCACTTGGGGTTGGGCTTTGCTAAAAGTCACTCTAAGAAGTAGCAAGATGTCAGATTAGTTGTCCACTAACCAGACATCATGGCAGCTACAGCTTTCTTTCATCTGTCATCTAACTTTTTCTCTCTTTCTAACAACTCCTTTCACCTTCCTCCTGCAGGAACAGGCCTTTGAACTGAGTCAGAAGTACAAGGAGGGGAAGTACATCATCGAGCTGTCCCACATGATAAAGGACAACGGTTGGGACTGAGAGGGAAATCTTCGTCTTTCGTCATGACTTTTTCACAAGTTGCGAAAACGGTTCCAGTGTAGCTTCTTCATCCCACGTTCGAGCCATCGCTGTGCCACACTTTCACTTCATACAGCTTTGCCAAGAATAGCATGTGATGCCTTATCTTTATCTGTTCTTCGTGTTTTGTTTCCTTTTTTTCCAGCAAGCACGACAACACATTTGCTGATAATGCTGTCCTAAGTGCTAGTTGTGCAGGAGGACATGGACTGAATGAGTGCGGGGTTTGCGCGTGAAAACTTGGAGATGTAGTCACACGGGGCACCAGTTGGTGTTACATTTTGAGCACGCCTATTAGCGATTAAACCACTGAAACGGCCTCGCCCTGTGGTGGGCAGGCCGGTGCAAGTCAAATTATCTGATCTTAAACACTGGATGCAGGTATTTGGGTTTTCCTTTTGACTTTAAGGTGCATATTTAGATGTAAATGACCCAAACTGAGTGAATTATTTAGGCTTGTTTAATCCAGAGATCCTTTCTTTTTTGATGTGAGGGTATGGGAACGCTTAGAGAAGCGGGATGGGCTTTTTTTTTATGAGTTAATGTTTTTAAGATTAGTAAAACTTGTTCATATTTTGTCTAAAAAGCCCACAAACATCTTGTAATTCATAATCTGGGGTAAGTCTTCCGCTTGAAGGTCTACCTTTTAGTGTGTGTTTGGGTGGGAATGTGTATGAGTGCAGTGTTTGCTCATAAGTCTTAAGCTGGATAGTGTTGAGAAGCATTGATTTGGAGTTGATTCACATTTAGATTTTCCACTGCACATTCGGGATATCTTCACTCTTAATGCGGATCCTTCATATGTTTGTGACCTAACACTAAAGCAGCCCTTAGATTTCCTAGATTGTGCTAGAGCAGAGTGTGATTTGGGTAATGTAGCATATTTATGGTGATTTTTTTTTTTTTTTAATGTCTGCTTCTTTCATTAAAGTGTTTTTTATTTTAACCTGATATTTCATTAAAATACAGTATGCCAGTAAGACTTTTGTTTGTGCTGTGGTGTTTCATCTTATCTCGCTTCTGATTTTCTCATCAAGCTTATTTCTTCTTTGTGGTCAAATCCAGACAAAACACAGCCTGAGAAAGTTTCTGTTCAAAGTGCTGAGACAACACAAAAGTGT